CACTCAGGCACCCCTCAACTTTTCTTGGGGAAGAAACTGAGTCTTTAAGATGTTCCCTGGCTGGCCTCGGGTCACACAGATAGAGATAATGATGTCACTGTGGATAATATGATTTCAATTGTTAATATTTGCTGAATATTCATCATGCGTAAGGACTTTACAAGCAAAGTCAAGATTTGGACCTTGACTCCAAGTCTGGCACATTTCATGATCTAAATTCTTGCTATTACCTCATACGTCTTCCCAGAAAATACTTGAGAGCACATCCGGTGAAGAAGATCTGCAAAAAACAGGGCAGCCGAGAGCAGAGAGGAAAAGACGGGGCAGGCACATGGTAGTCGTGTCCAAATACTGAAAGGCTATCACTGTGCAGGGAAGTTGCACTTATACCACATGCTTTATTGTGCATATCCCCTGCTTCATTTGGGGATGCATTTTGGCGAAGCCCATTCACCTTGTGGTAACTTTCTCCAATGGGCAGAAGTCACACCCATGACAGATTACTACAAAAAGAAACTCTGAGAGACCAAGCTGTCCAAATAGGGAATAAGATGATTGCAACACACCCACCGTTGCTGGGAGTTGCCCAGCAACAGAGGTGTCCAAGCTGGATGACCCCTGGTGGGGAGGTTTTTGGGGGGGGGGGGGTTGGTATCTGCAAAAGAAAAAAAAAATAGGGCTACGTGATAGTTATGGTTCTTAACAAGTGTGCAAGTTTAATTCTACAGAAGTTGACATTTATTCTATTTACAAATGGATTTTAAAATCAGGGGAGGGATGTAAAGTGGGTCAGTATTATTGTCCAGATGGGGAGGGAATTGCGTCACTGGAAGCTGTGACCAGCCAAGGGTTCCAGGGAGTAAATCAGCTCAACCACTGAGTAGCTGAAACCCTCACTGTGCATCAGAGTCACTGAGGGGGCTTTAGAAAATGACAGACACCAGAGCTGCAATCCAAACCAAATGAAGGTATATCCCTCGGGGGTGGGCCCAGGAATCAGTAGTTTTTCAAAGCAACCCAAGGAGATTCTAAGATGCAGCCAAGATGGAGAACCACTGAACTGGAGAAAAGGAGGCTCATGCAGGGCAGTTGTTGAGGGACTGTTTGTATGTCAAGAAGATTCGAATCAAAATCCCTCTAGGATGTTCCCTTTGGAAGTCAGGTGAGGTCCTCTGATCCCTCCATTAAAGCCATGAAATCCTGACTTTTTGAGCTATTACCAAGTCTTCACAGATTTATAGAGATAAAAAGTAAAACAGTTGCCAGAAGCTGGAGGACTGGGAGGGAGTAGAGAATGCAGAGTTAACTGTAACAGGCAGGAGTTTCAGCTGGGAAGGACGAGAAAGTTCTGGAGATGGAGGACAGTGACGGTTGCACAATAAGGTGAATGCACTTAATGCTACTGAACTGTACACTTAAAAGTGGTTAAAATGGTCAATTTTATGTTACATATATTTTACCACAATAAAAAAAATTGTTTAACATTTCAAGTACAGTGACTATAAGAAAAATATAATGGGGGCGCCTGGGTGGCTCAGTCGTTGGGCGTCTGCCTTCGGCTCAGGTCATGGTCCCAGGGTCCTGGGATCGAGCCCCGCATTGGGCTCCCTCCTCTGCGGGGAAGCCTGCTTCTCCCTCTCCTACTCCCCCTGCTTGTGTTCTCTCTCTCTCTCTCGCTGTGTCTCTCTCTGTTAAATAAATAAATAAAATCTTTAAAAAAAAGAAAAATATAATGAATGTGCACTGACCCACCCAACTGCACTGTTAGCACTGTGTCAAATTTTCTTCACTCTTTTTAAGAGTTAATTAATTAATTAATTTAAGAGAGAGTTAGCAGGAGGGATAGGGAGAGAGAATCTGAAGCAGACCCCTTGCTGAGCCCGACTTGGGATCCCACGACCACGAGATCATGACCTGAGCTAAAACCAAGAGTTGGATGCTTAACTGACTGAGCCACCCAGGCTCCCCATCTTCAGTCTTTTTAAATAAAAGAAATAAAACTTTGCAAATTTAAAAAACAAAAAAAGCATTCAGAGGGATTTATCCCGGGAATGGAAGAGTAATTCAACATAAGAAAAACAATCAATGTCATGTACCAAACACATGATTATCTCAATTGGTGCAGAAAAAAGAATCTGACAAAATCCAACACCCTTTCATGATGAAAACACTTAGAAAACTGGGAATAGAAGGGAATTCCCTCAACATGATACAGGACACTTATGGAAAACCCATGGCAGGCATCACACTCAACGGTGAGACACTGAGAGCTTTTTCCTCTAAGATCAGCAACAAGACAAGGATGTCCACTCTCCCCACTCCTACTCATCATTGTATTGGAAGTTCTAGCCAGAGCATTAGGGAAGACAAAAAATAAATAAATAATAAATAGATAGATAAAAGGTATCCAAATTGGAAATGAAGAAGTAGAATATTTATAGTTGACGTGATTCTACATATAAAAAACCCCAAAGAATCCATACACATCAAAGGCTACTAAAATGAATACACATATTTGGCAAAGTTTCAAGAGCACAAGATCAACACATAAAAATCAGCCGTGTTTCCATATACCACCACCCATGAACAATCTGAAAAAGAAATTAGGAAAACAATCCCATTCACAAAAGCTTCCAGAGCATCTAAGGATTGGCCATTAAAAGAGTTTCACAGTCCTTTGAAGTGGAAACATTTTGTTATTAAGGGTGTTGGTGGAGGTAAAGGCTGCAGCACCTTTAATTTTTCACACATATTAGTGCATCTCATGTTAAAATTAAGTAGAGCAGATAGATTGATGGGGATGGTAGTGTGGACTGCACAGGCCATGTAGGGCAAGTGAAGCCACGTCCACAGGCACTTCCGAGCGGCCTGGGTCTTGGCTATCCTGCCTCCCTTCAAGTCTCTCAAGAGTCACAGGAAGCTGGGAAGCAAAGTTCCAGGCCCCTCGGAGGAAATCAGGCCTGAGTCAGCCTTCCTGGGAGGTTGAGGGAACAGATTAGGCCCAGCAAACTGTTTACTGAGGAGGGTGTTTTTTACTTGAAAACTTGGTTGGGGTTTTTTGTTTTTTTTTTTAAGTTGAAGAAGGAACTAAAAGTGCTTTTAATTATTGTTTTGTGACTAGGGGCCAGAAAGATGAAAGGTTTGCCAAGTATTGCCACATTCTTAGTGCTCCATGTTCCAGAGACTCTACGAGCTGGTGGCTGGTTCCATCACCGAGACAACTCTCCTTACCCCTTGCTTCTGTTCCTCACTCACTGACAGCTAAGGAGCATCTGCCAAGATCTATAGATGGAAGCACTGGGCAGAGAAAAAGTCTGAGTGCAAGGAGGTGATCTGCTGAACGGGATTAAGCCCTGGACAGATGGCCAGAAGACCTGGGTTCTAGACTGGCCTCTGCAGCACCCCAGCTGTGTGGCTTTGAGTCCATCCCCCTCTTGATTCTTGTCCCTAAAGGGAAGAGGGGCAGGGCAGGGGTTGGGAGGTTTTGGGTTTGACATTCTAGTTTTTCTAAAGGCCAAGCCCATTAAGAATTCAAAAGAACTTTAAAAGAAAGGGGAAGTGACATTGATTGAAAAGAAAGATGGAAAGAGACAAATTTTAAAGAATGGACAAGAGGTTTTTCTACTCCAGGCCACTCTTTTCTTTTTTTTTTTTTTTTTTTTAAGATTTTATTTATTTATTTGACAGAGAGAGACACAGTGAGAGAGAGGCCACAAGCTGGGGGAGTGGGAGAGGGAGAAGCAAACTCCCCGCCAAGCAGGGAGCCCAAGGCAGGGCTCAATCCCAGAACCCTGGGATCATGACCTGAGCCAAAGGCAGACACTTAACGACTGAGCCACTCAGGCGCCCCCAGGCCACTCTTTTCTACTTGACCAAGGCTGAGCGGATGCCAGAGGCTCAGGTGGACTCAGGCGGGGAGCAGAGCTGGCAAGGGAAGAAAAAACAGCATTCCTGTTTTCAGTTTCCCCAGGCCAGGGCTCCCCAAGTAGATCTCACAAAAGGCCCAAATGCTTAAAGCTTGCCCACCTGTGGGCAAATCAACCCCGTTAAGGACCATGTTTTTAGAGGGAAAAAGTGAGGTGGAGGCAATTAAACAACACCCCAAAAATGAATAAAAGGGCCTGATTTGGTTGGGAGGCCTTGATTTGGATGGGTAATCCTTAGATTTCTTTCCAATTGTACTATTCGGCAAACATTTAGAAAGTGCCTACTATGAGTTGGCTATTGTGGGTGGTCAGCTGGGCTATCTGGCTAGGCGGCATTCATAGGAGATAAGGCATGTGCACAAATCCCAAAAGTCTAAAACACAAAGCAGAATGTGAAACCTGCCCCAAGGGAGTTCAGATAAATCTCTGGAGTTCAGAGTGGGGGCTGCTCCCCCTTAACCTGGGAAGTTCCAGAAACAGACCCTAGGGGCTGAAGCACAGATCTGGAAAGCCTTGTCTATTCTTCCAGGAGTAGCAATTTGCCCCAGCTCCATTTTAAAGAAGTGAAAACCAAAACAGAGAGGCAAATTATTTGCTCTCTGATCATCCAGGTAGTTAGCAACACAGGCTGATTACGAACTACAAACTGATAACTTCCCCCAGAAATTAAGGGTGAAAGATGAAAACAAAGCTCATTTTAGAGGAGGAAATCCAGAGCCACAATGTCCTTTCCCAGTTTAATCCCAAAGACACACCAACCACAATTCAAGGCAGCATAAAAAAATTCATAAGCACGCTGAAGTCACATGTATCTTGGGTCTGAAGGGAGCCAAGGTCTCAGAAGCGGCAGCTCCGCCTACTTGGGGAGGGGTTCTTTGTGCGAAGTCCATCTGCCCCATTATAAGTGAGCTGCAGAGGACACCATGCATCCGGGACAAGACAGAGGAAAGATGAAAACCCAGGCAAGCCCTCTGCTTTTGCAGAGCGAACGTGGCCGCAGGCTTTTCAGCATTGAATTTGAACAAGCCAATGGCATCCCAATCATTGAAACAGGAAGCCAGATAAACAGCATGTTATCAAGGGGGGATCCGGGTGCTTCCCTTAAGCCGGCGCCAGCTGCGCCCTGTGGCTGTCCTAACAAAGTCCCATTGACTCACCAGCTGATTTTCCAGTGTTTGGCACCGGGGGACAAGGAACCCTCTCTGCTGGGTGGATTTCACCCCTGCACACCGCCCCCACCACTCACCCCTCACGTCCTCCCCCAATCCTGCCTCCCCAACGCAGACTGGGCTAATTCTTTATCCCATGACCAGGTTCTATCGGCTCTAGAGAATAGAAGGGACCACAAGAGCCCAAGCACCGAGCGCCCTCAGGTGAGCTCCTGGTGTTCACTCAATCTCTCTTTCTCCTCCCTCCCGCGTCCCCCGGGAAAGCTTCCTCTGAGCGGGAGCCAAAGAGGACAGCCTCAGGGAGTCTGGCGGGCGGACGCTTCGCAGCGCAACCTGGGCACCCAGTGAACATTTTCTGGAACAGCCCGACAAGGTCACCTGCTCCAGCTGCTCCGCTCGCTCCGCTGGGATGGGAGAAAATGTGGGTACAGTGTGTGTGTGTGTGTAATACGCAGTACTTGGTGTCTCTGGTTATAGGATCTCAACACACTTTACGTTGCAGGTATTTCACAGAAAGGGAAACTGAGGCTCCGAAAGGCTGGAGCTGGGTAGCCCCTAGTGAGTCAACTCCTGGAGCAGACACGCAGTCCCCTAAGGACGTCTCGGCACACACCCTCCAGGCGCCTCCGTTGTTATTCCAATGCCTCTCCCGAGCCCAGCCCGCAGCCTCCCCGGGGCACCCGGCTCACCTCCCCCCGGGGCTCGGTCCCGGCCCCACACACTGGGAAGCGGCGGCGGCCCGTCTCGCCGCCGCGCGCAGCCGGGTCCCCGCCCCTGCGACGACCCCGCGCGGGCCACTCACCCGCGCGCCCGCCCGCTCCGGGTCCCAGTCCGCGCCGCCGCCGCCGCCGCCGCGCAGAGTCGCGCATCCCCCGCGCAGCGCCGGGCCGGGCGCGCTCTCCTCGCGATAAGAAAGTTTCTCCGGGGTCCCCGGCCGGGTCCGCCCCTCGCACGGGGGTCGGCGTCTGCCGCGTGTTCCGGCCGCGCGCTCGCACTAGGGCCGCCGCCGGCTCCGGCCCCACAATGAGCGAGGAGGCGGCATCCTGAACAAAGTGCGTCCCCCGGGGCCGGGCGGCCGGGGGCGGAGCCTCGTGACCCGCTGCCCCAGGCACACGCCGGCTGCCTCCAACGCGGGCCCCGGGAGGGGGTGCCCGGCGACTGGGGGTGGGGGGAACAGGGGGTTGGGGGGAACAGGGGGGCGGGCGGGAGGGGAGGCTTTGCTTCTGGTCCCCCTCGCCCTCCTCCCCCCGCACTGTGCCAGTTTAACCCGCAGAGGGGCGGAGGCATGGGTCCCTTCCAGACTTTGTCATTGGAAAGCTATTCCCGTAACCCTTTCCTGCCTTCGCCTTCCCGTCCCGCCTCCCCGGCCGCAGAAAGGCGGCGGCTTGGTGGCTGAGCTGGGGCCGAGAGCTGGCAGGGCAGGAAGCCTTTGCACAATTGAGCCTTTCCTTTGCCTGGGGACCCGCCACCCCCACCCACACCCACGTCCCTGGGCTGCGGCTCGTTCGGCCGTTCTTTGGAAGGGGGCAGATGGATCCGCCAGCCTCCTTGCCCTGCTTCTGACTCCGCCCACCCTTCCTTCCTCTCTACTCGGGTCTGAGCTGGGACTCGTGGGTGCAGAGGTGAGGGGAAGCCCCAGAAGTGCTCGGCAAATAGTAGGTGCTCAGTAAAATAACGTGACTTCTTCCCACTTTCCCGACTCTGCCACTGCCCCTCCTTCTAGGGCCGTGGGAGTGGGAGGAGGGAGCAGAAGACGGGAGAGGAAATGACATGAGCTGAAGAGCGAGAATGGGAAGGAGGTCCTCAGGCCGAACCTCGAACCTCGTGCAACCTCTCTGCGGTGCAAGGATTGCACCCCCCATTCCTCCCCTCCCCACACCCGCCTCCTGGCCTGAAGGCTTCCAGACTGTGCAGGAAGAGTCCAGAAGGAAATCAGGTGTCCCGTGCCCCTGGAGCAAGCTTTGAGCTCTGTAAGTGAAAGGGAGTAGCTGTGGCCAAGGACCCAGCAGATTGGGACCAGAGATTTCACCAGCTCCAGCCAACATGAGGACTGATTTATTTCCCGGGTCTTGAGGGGTTGAGAGATAGAAAGCAAAAAAAATGCCAGCTCCCTGGGAGGTCTCTGAATGCTTCACCAGCAGCATCAACCAGAGGGAGCAGAGTCAGGATGAAAGCCCCTGAGTCTCGCTGAGCCCCTATCCAGCCAGTCAGGTCACAGGGCATATGGACATAAGGGGAGGATCAAGGACCTCTAGACAGGGACTAGCAGTGACATTGAAGACGGTCCCATGTGATCAAGGGAGAGGATTTTTACATGGCTTTTGTCCATGAAAAGAATGAATTGTCTTTTGAGGTGGGGGGGTTGCTGTCCCTGAGGGATATCACAGATGAATCCCTTGCCCTGTGTGTGTATAATGGCTAAACATATGGGCTCTTAAGGCAGACTGCCTGGGTTCAAATTCCTGGATCTACCACTTACTAGCCATAGGAATTTGAATGAATTCTTTAATCTCTGACCACCTCCATTTCTTCATCTGTATGTAAATGGGATAATAATTGTCGCTATGTCCTAAGACTGTTGGGAGGATTAAGGGCAATAAACACAGGTGACACGCTTAGAAGAATGCCTGGTAGCATTCTATATGCATCACTGAGTCTGCGTCCAGCAACCCAGCATCCATGTGGCATTCAGTGATGTGCTAACTGGCATTCTGGTCCTGCTCTTCACCTCTGCCTGCAAAGGGGAAGCCTGGTCCTTTAAGAAGAAGCACTGTCTCTTCTTGAGGGCTCATAGAGTGGATCAGCTGAGCTCTTTGGCCCTCCTAGGCCCAGGGACCAAGAGGACACAACAGTCATACAAACCGCTATCAGAGACTGAACTGCCCCTACCCGTCTTGAGGCTAGATACAGGGCCCTCACCCACATGGGTAAGGTTGGAATGAGGCAGTTCCTTGGATGCTACCCAGAAAGGTAAAGAAGGCCAAAGCCATAATTTTGTAAGAGTTAAATTTCTTCCATCAGTGCATACGATTAATATTTCTCCCCCATTTATGAATGGCTGATCATACAAGTCCTCTCCGACCCTGCTCCAAATGTCCCCATCGTAAGCGTCCAACAGATAAACAGAATAGCATGTGGACAGGTTGGGGGGGCAGAGAACAAACAGGCCAGGCTGGTTGGGGCAACAGGCAGTGGATGTGAAGGCTTCTGGAAGAGAAAGTGCCTAGGACAGAACAGCAGAGAAGAGAAGCCAGAAGCAACTCTGGACAGAGTGCCGCTGGGGTGTAAGCAGAGTCCCCGCCCATCCCAGAAGTAGCTTCTGCCAAGTGCCTACTTTGTGAGTGATTTTCCTCTGAACACAGTGATGACTCAGTTGCTCTGAATCAAGCAAATGGATTTTCCTTAAATATGAAAATCAATAAGAAGTAAAGGCAATGGCCTGGTTGTGGGGAACGGAGGGTGGAGAGAACAACAGGGGTGCTGGGGATTGAGATGGTAATTGAAGGAGGTTCAGGCTCTCTGCTGGGGGCCCCTTGGCACAGCATGTGTTCCCCCCCCCCCCCCCCCCCCCCCCCGTCCCCACTAGTGAAGAAGGTGGCCTCTGGGCCCTGCTGACCTTATTGAGACTCCTTAAAACCCAAGGGATTCCCCTTACCCCCACCCCTTCCACAGCTTAGAGCCAACCCGCTTCAGGGCAGGAGATTGTTAACCAGAGGATTAATGTCAGTGTGACAAATGGGTTTTAAAAAATCAGCCCAGGAGCCTGTTGTCACCCCCATAGAGTCTCAGATCTGGCTTGAGTTGAGATGGGGGCTTTGGGGGCCCCCAGGAAGCAGAGCAAGTGGCATTTCCAGACCCAGCCTGATTTCTTGGGGGGGGAGGCTCTGCCTGTTTTCCTGCCACCTTGAGGTCTGTGGACCCATGCTCATTTGTTTCCCCACTTGGGTTATCTGATGTGGGACCTTGGGGATTTGAACAGTCAGAGCTCCTACATTCCGTGTGACCCAGGGAGGGACTGCCTTTACCTCTGCCTCTCTTGTTCAGGCCTTCCAGAGCCGTTTGTAAGGCCCTCGGGTGGGGATATGAAGACAGCACGTGGCTTTATTTTCTTGAGCACTTAATAAATGTCATGAGAGCTTCTGAGGTGGAGTCTGAGGGAGCCTCTGACTTCCTCCTCCTCAGCACAGTGGAAAATCACTGGGCACGGTATCAGGAGACCTGAGTCCGCGCTTTGGTTGGGCTGCTGTCTGAAGGGCGTCACCCCAGTGTGCTCATCAGTAAAAACGGGTGTTGACACCCAGGAGACAACAGTAATCACCCACCAAGGCTTAGGTGAGTATTCAGTGAGATAATGGAAGAGAAGGTGGTTTCTAAAGTACTGTGCAAATATAAGCAGAAGTGTGACGATGAGACAGAAAGGACCAGCCCCTCTCCCCGGCCCTGGCTTCTTCCCCACCCCAGTCACATACACTCTGCTTACGGACTCAGTGCTTGAAAACTCACTTCTCAGCGGTAGACACCGGACTGTCCACTAGTAACCCTTGCCCTTTCTAGCTTGATTCATTAACCCAGGAGGGGCTGCATGCCGATGGGAGTGGGGGGGGGCGGGGAGTGTGGGCAAAGCATTTGTCCCCATCTGAGGCCACTCAGGCCTCATGACTGGCCTTAGGGTCCCCTTTAAGAAGGGCCCTCTGTGCTGATGGCTTGCGCTTAGGAGGACCTGGGAGAAACGGTCTGTGGGGAAAACTGGTACCTTCATGAATGTTTTACGAGGCTGAGCGAGTCACTGCCTTATCGGGAAGATGCTGTTTCTCTCCCTTTCTCTGTTACCAGGACGTGAGATGTACTGAAAGTCATCCCAGTGTTTTTCCAAAGATGGCTTTTCAAAATTAGTGTTTCTTTAAGGGGCCAGCAGGGTAGGGGTGGGGTTGACAAGGAGAAACAGTCCCCTTGAAGAAGGCAGGCTCTGGCTACAGCATCCTGGAAAGAAGAGTCATAGTCCTTCCTTCTGTGTAGCACTGGGGGTGGGCCAACTTCAGTTCCAAGAACTTGATATACATTCATCCACTTGATCCTCGCAACGACTCTTTGAAATAGGTATCATTTTTATTTGTATTTTATAGGTGAAGAAATTGAGGTCAGTATCTTGTGTGGTTCTGACAGCTAGTAAGTGCCAGAGCCAGGATTTGAACTGGCAGTCTGGCTACTGAGGCCATGCTTTCAAGTGCTATGTAGAGGCAGAGAAAAGGAGTCTTTCAGTGGCAGTGTGGGGTAGTGGTGAAGGGCTTTATCGTTTTCTAGCTTCAGTACATTTCTTTATTTCTAGCTTCTTAATAGCTGTTTTGAAGTATACATTATGTATTGGAAAGTTTGCCCACTGTCAGTATATGATACTATGATTTCTAGTAAGTCTGTAGAGTGGTGAAGCCATCCCTACAATCAAGTTCCAGAATGTTTCCATCACTCCCAGAGTTTCCTCTTTTAGGATATGTTTTCATCTGACTCTCAACATCCTCATCTGTAAAATGGAAATAACAGTGCCTGCCTCATAGGATTGTTGTCAGCATTAAATGAGCTTGCAAGGTGGCGCCTGGGTGGCTCAGTCATTAAATGTCTGCCTCCGGCTCAGGTCATGATCCCAGGGTCCTGGGGTCGAGCCCCGCATCGGGCTCCCTGCTCCGAGGGAAGCCTGCTTCTCCCTCTCCCCCTGCTTGTGTTCCCTCTCTCGCTGTGTCTCTCTCTGTCAAATAAATAAATAAAATCTTATGAATAAATAAATAAATAAGCAAGCCTGCAAATGGTATAGGGTAAATGCTCAAGCAAAGGTGGTTATCATTATAGTCTCTAAGAGTCATTTAAATACACACTTGTAGAACTGGGAGTGGTCTTAAAGTTGATTTCATCCCCCCCTCCCCTTTAAGGGACAAAGAAACTGAGGTGCCAAGATGTTGAGCAATTTGCCCCTTAAGAGCACACAGCAAATTTAATGGCAGGGCTGGAACTGAAACCCAGGTCTCCTGGTTGATAGTTCAATGCTCTCTTATCTCTGGGGAGACTTTCTACCCCAGGCACAGGGATTTCATTGTCTCGCACCCTGCTTTTTGTGGGTGCCCCCAGAACAATGTGGCCTGGCTGACATGGACCATGGGAGTTTGCTTGTGCTAGAGCTGGAATGCCCAGCATGCTGGCCTTGGTGAGGAGAATGCAGCTGGGGAAGGCTGGGTGCAGAATCAAGGGACAAGAGCCAATGTGGAGGCTGAGGCAGGAATGTCCATTTTCAGAATGGGGGATGCATTAACTCAAGGCATCTAGGAGACAGCCAGTCTCTGTAGAGCCCATGGTTAGGCCAGCTTCATGGGCATGTGACCTGTGCAGTCACATGGGACCCCATACTTAGAAGGACCCCCGGTTTGGTTTAATGCTTTGCTGTTGCAATCTTTAAATTCTTAATAATTTTTTAAACAAAGGAGCCCACATTTTAATTTTGCACTGGATCCCAGAAGTGATGTAGCCAGCTTTACCCATTGGACAGGGCGTGGAGGCCAAGCCAGACTCTCTCTCTTTTTTAAAGATTTTATTTATTGGGGCGCCTGGGTGGCTCAGTCGTTAAGCGTCTGCCTTCGGTTCGGGTCATGATCCCCGGGTCCTGGGATCGAGCCCCACATCGGGCTCCCTGCTCCGCAGGAAGCCTGCTTCTCCCTCTCCTACTCCCCCTGCTTGTGTTCCCTCTCTCACTGTCTCTCTCTGTCAAATAATAAATAAATAAATAAATAAATAAATAAAAAGGTTTATTTATTTATTTGAGAGGGAGACAGAGAGGAGCAGAGGGAGGACAAGCAGACTCCACCCTGAGCTCAGAGCCTGACCGACGTGGGGCTCGATCCCATGACCTGAGCCGAAATCAAGAGTCGGACGCTTAACCAACTGAGCCACCCAGGTGCCCCTCTTATATCAATAAATATTCTTAAAATAGTAAGAAAAAAAGTGTCTTGAGAGGGAAAAACGAGGTGTGAAGTGGGACCACTGAAGAATGGTAGATGGAGGCAAAAGAGTTTCAGGCCCATGATAGGGCTTGAAGGCGAGCAGCCTGGACCAAGGGAAGGAAATTGGGTGTGAGAAGCCATTGACAAGAGGGTAGCACCTATGGCATCCTCTTTGGTGATTGATGGTGGGGTGACCGGGGGTGTTGAAGAGCTGTGAGTTGCCAAATGAACCTCTCGATAAAGGTTATAGAGGTGACTTTGGCTGCACTAAACAGAAATGGATGAGTTGGGGAATTACCTACAGGGGGAGGAGGGGATGGGGCCTAATGTGGGATTTCCTGGGGATTGGGAGGTTGCAGGCAGTGTGTACAGCAGACAGAGTACAAGCTTTGGAGTTCAGGCAGCAATCGAGTGTCAGATTCACTGTATTCTGTGTTGACCATAACCTTGATTTCTCTCCTATGAAACAGAAATGATCCTGACAACATGTACCTGGCAGGGTTTGGGGGAGGATTTGATGAGGTGATATAGGTAAAGCCCTGGACCCAGTACCTGGCACAGACCCAGAGCCCCAAAATGTTCCCCCTTCAATTAATTCTGTGGTTTGAGGAACTAAAGTGGCAAGAAATCATTTGCATATATAAAGAGCCATTCTTTCAAATATTTCCCTCCCAGCTTTCTGGGAGAGCCACTAGGAGCCAGGATTCTGAGCTCCAGCCTGCAAAGGTCTGAGCTGAGCCAACCGGGAAGGGAGAGGAGCTGGCTGCAGCCAAAGCACTGGGCAGCAAGACAGAGGAGGAGGACTCAGCGCTTTGACTCGCAAGCTGCAGCCAGCGAGGCTGACTTTGGGGCAACCTGGCAAGGGGTCCTACTTTGGGAACTCTAGGAAAGAAGTGCTCTGTGAATGCTTATCCCAGTTTTCCCACATTTCTCTCACCCCCTGGCCCTTTCTGCACATCTCCTTCAGCTTTGGGGAGTGTGGCAATGATTGACGAACCCTCCTGCTGCTGCTTCTGCGCGCGCGCGCGCACACACACACCCATGGGTACAGATGTGTTGGGCAGCAGCTGTACCATGCAACCTACACCTGTTGCCTAGATCAGCTGCTGTAACTCTACTCTTGGGAAGGAGGCCAGGTGCCCCGGCTTGCAGAAGTCCTCCTTTTGGCAGGTGGAAAGGAGAGCCTCTGGCTGTCAGAGCAGTTCGCTCCAGGAGGCTGCTTGGAAAGTGCCAGGGCCCTGGGAATCTCGGCTACAAACTGGAACCCTTTCCAGCCCAGAGTTGCTCCCAGCTGTATCGCTGTCCCACAGGCCCCGGCTGGTTCTCTGACTACTCCCACGCCTACCACACTGGGGTGGGGGAGACGGAGGAGCAAGGGGAGAGACAAGACAACCTCCAATGGGATCCATCCCTCTGTCAGCAGCAATGTGGAAGCTGAGCAGCAATGCGGACCAGAGGACTCAAAGAGAACTAGAGCTGGGAAGAAGACTGGCATTGGGGCCAAGGATGAGGAAGGAGTCTGGAAACGAGAGCAGAACTCGCTCTTGTGTGGCTTGGGCCGCCGAGACTTTCGTTCCGGAGGCTGAAGCCCGGGAAGGCTTCCATTCCACACTGAGCATGCGTGGAGGCGTGGCCTGGGCAGGCACCGTGGGAGCGCCCCGCAAACGCTGGTCTAAGCCGTGGGAGAGCGAAGCAAGCGACCCTCCTGGAGCGCCTGGGTGCTGAGAGAATCCAGAAATCCCAGGGAGCTGAGGAAATTTCAACAAGGCAAAGCCGAGACACACGTCCTCTGACATGCAGATCCACACAATGCATGGCCCGTGCCAAGACACAGAAAAGCCTGGTAGAAAACCAGATGGTGACTTGGCGTTGCAGATGTCTGGATGTGTGTACGTACACACCCACTTCGGCCTTTGAATGAACATACCTTCCATTTCCCCATGCTACTCCACACTCAGGGAAGGGAATCTAGAGCTGGCGATGCTCAGAGTGATGCCAAGGCCTTACCAGGAAGGTATTCTCCAGTTCCCCATCAGCTCTGGCGGTGCCAGGAGAAACAGCCCATGTGGCAAGCTGCTCCAGGCCAGATGTGAGACACTGCTGACCCCTGCTGGCGGGTTTCTCTCTGCAGCAACCAGGGAAAGCCCCAGGGAGAATGGAGTATTGGAAAAAGCTTGCAATCCGTCTGGGAGGGGTAGGAATACCCCAGCGCAGAATCTCCTCATCTGGAGCTCCTCTGATGAGACCCAGAAGAAGTTAGAGTAAAACCCAGACTGAATTTCTGGGAGGAGTGAGACGGACTTGTGCGTCCTTTCAGCCCCTGTGACTTGGAAGAACTCCCTGCTGCCGAGCTCTGCGAACCTAAATTGGGAAACCATTAGCAACACTCCATTAGCCAAATTAAACCACTCAACCAAAAAAAAAAAAAAAAAAAAAAAAGGAAGAAAAACCTCTCCTCCGTCTCTCTCCTTTCTTATTGCAGTGCAGAGTCTTCCTGAACTTTTAGCTTAATTTATTGTGAGTCTGACATTCCCCCCTTAGACCTGGGGCTAACATGTGATAATCATGGCTTTATGTCTTTCTTTCCATGGAAAGAGGTTGGTCTTACACTCCTTGGAAAGCCACAGTTAAGAAAGCTGACATCTAGGATATTTGCATCTGTGGTTAGTAATTTTAAAAATCTTTTTCTACACCCAAGGAATGAAATTCAAGTCTTCGAGAATCTTTACTGGAATAGGAACAGGGACCAAAGGAGCACCAGCACTCTGATAATTCCAACAGAATTAGTATGGAAGCCCCAAGAAGTGAAGTCACTCATTGTTAAATTCCTGCCTCTACCCTGCACCCCTTTCTAGCAACAGATCTGGTGCAGAGGGTATGTGTACTCCTTGTCTCTCTACCACCCATCACCAGCAAGCCTCCACTCTGAACACAGTGCCAAAACTGCTCCAGCAAAGGTAATCATTGGCTTCAGAAGCCAAATCTAATATGCATTTTCTTTCTTTTTTTTTTAAGATTTATTTATTTGAGAGAGAGCTCCTGCGAGAGAAAACAGAAGTGGAGGGAGGGGCAGGGGGAGAGATTCCTCAAACAGACTCCCCACTGATCAGTAGCTGGAGGTGGGGCTGGATCCCAGGACCCATGAGAGCATGATCTGAAACCAAGAGTCAGACACTCAACCAACTGAGCCACCCAGACTCCCCTAATGTGTGGTGTTTTTTATTTTTTTAAGATTTTATTTATTTGGCAGAGAGAAGGAACACAAGCAGGGGGAGTGGGAGGCTCCCACTGAGCAGGAAGGAGCCCAGGAAGCCCGAAGTGGGGCTTGATCCCAGTTCCCCGGGATCCTGACCTGAGCCTATCGACTGAGCCACCCAGGTGCCCCCATTTCCCAGTTTTCATGTTGCTTGACCTCTATAGCACCTGATATCCTAACAACTCATTCATTATTTATTCAAAATTTTATTATGAAATATTTTAGACATGCCAAAGGTATAGGAAATAATTTAACAAACATACCTGTTGTATTAGTCAAGGTTCTCCAGAGAAACAGTACTAATGGAATGTTTATTTATTTATTCATTTATTCATTCATTTGTAGGGAACTGGCTCAGGCAATTATGGAAGCTGACAAGTCCCAAGATCTGCAGAGTGGATTGGCAAGCTGGAGACCCAGGAGAGCCAATGACTTAGTTCCAATCTAAGTTTGAGGGATTGAGAACCAGGTGAGCTGATGGTACACTAGTCCGGAGGCCAGTAGGCTAGAGACCCAGGAAGAAGCTGATGTCCCAGTTCAAAGGCAGTCAGGCAGTAGGAATGCTCTTTTATTCCAGGGAGGGTCAATTGATTGGATGAGGCCCACCTATATTAGGGAGGGCAATTGGATTTATGCAGTCCACCGATTTAAATGTTAATCTCATCCAAAAGCACCCTCACAGAAACACCCAGAATAATTTGGGCCAAATATCTGGGCAGCCCGTGGTCCCGTCAAACTGACATATAAAATTTAGCCATCACACGTATAAACATCTATAGTTTAAGAAATAAAGCAGTACAAATATAGTTTAAGTTTAAGCCCCTCCCCTTCCCCCCCCAGGGGGAAATACTATTCTGAACCTGCTGTTAATCATTTCCATGCATATTTTTATACTCTTACTACACTATACACTATATATGCATTGCATATTTTAACTATTTGAATGGACTCATACTGCGTATAAAATTCTTCTAGAACTTTCCTTTTGATTCAACATTACATTTGTAAGGTTCATTTATGTTGATTCAGGTAGCTTTAGTTTACTCATTTTCACTGCTGTATAACATTTCATTTACAACTATATTACAACTTAGCGATTCTCTTGTTTCCAGTTTTTGCTACTATAACACAGTCTTACTACTATGGAAATTCTCCTACACATCTTATTGCGTACATTTGAATTTCTTCAGGAGTCTACCCACATGGTTGATGGTCTGGATATCTTTAACTTTACCACATTTATGCCAACACCTGGATCGTCAGATCTTTTTTTTGGACAACCAGATAGATGTGAGATTATGGAATATTGTGATTTTAATTTGCATTTCACCAACCACTAACAAGGTTGAGCACCTTTTCATATGTTTATTGGTCATTAGGATTGCTTTCTGGGATGCCTGGGGTGGCTCAGTCGGTTAAGCATCTGCCTTCAGCTCAGGTCATGATCCCAGGGTCCTGGAATGGAGTCCTGCATCAGGCTCCTTGCTCAGGGGGCAGCCTGCTTCTCCCTCTGCCTCAGCCTCTCCCCCTGCTTATGCTCTCTCTCTCTCTCTGACAAATAAATAAATAAAATCTTTAAAAAAAAAAAGGATTGCCTTCTATTTATTCCTATCTCCTAATCTTTTCTCAGTTGTATTGTTAATCCTTTTTTTCCCTTGATTTGTAATAATTCTCTCTATATTGTGGCTAACAATCCCTTTTCAGTTATATTCTTTTCATTTATCTTTTTCAAGTCTGTGGCTTTTCTCTATCACTACCTTATAGTAGCTCTCTTGAGATATAATTTACTTACTATAAAATTCACAGATTTTAAATGTACAGCTCAATGATTTTTAGTAAATTTAAAGAGTTGTGTAACTGTCACCACAGGCCCGTTTTAGGACATTTCCAACACCCAAGAGCAATCGCTCTAACCCATGTGCAATCAAGCCCAGTTCCTATTTGCAGCCATAGGCAACCACTAATGTGTTTTCCGTCTCTATAGTTTTGCCTTTTCTGGACATTTCACATAAATAGAATCATATAATATATGGGTTTTTTTGCATCTGTCTCCTTTCACTTAGAATGTTTTTAAAGTTCATTCATGGGGCGCCTGGGTGGCTCAGTCAGTTAAGCGTCTGCCTTCGGCTCAGGTCATGATCCCAGGGTCCTGGGATCAAGCCCCACATCAGGCTCCCTGCTCTGCTGGGAGGCTGCCTCTCCCCCTCCCTCTGCTCCTCCCCTGCTAATGCTCTCTCTGTCTCTCTCTCAAATAAAGAAATAAAATCTTTTTTAAAAAATAAAGTTCATTCATATTTTAATATATGTCAGTAGTTCATTTCTTTTCACTATTGAATGGTATTTCATCGTATGAATATAGCACATTTTGTTTATTTACCAGTTAATGGAGATCTGGCTTATATTCTATCTGATGAAAAACAGCTCTCATAATTATCATTGCTCCCGCTATGTAATGCATTTTTTTCTCCCTTTATGGTTGCTTTTGAGATTTTTCTGTCTCTCTGGTTCCCAGTAATTTGATGTGCCAACTGTATTTTCTTTATATTTATCCTGCTTGTACCTTGTTAAACCTCTTGGACCTGTGAATTGTTATTTTTTATCAAAATTTCATCCACTGTTTCTTTAAATATTTTGTTCTACCCCACTGTTTCTTTCCTCTCTTTATGGAACTCCAATCCTACGTCTATGAGACTCCTGGCTATTGTTCTACAGCATGTGAATGCTCTCTTAATGATTGTCAAACATTTTTTCTTACTTTGCTTTAATTTGGATAATTTCAATTGGCCTGTATTCAAATCACTAATTTCTTCTTCTGCAGTGTCCAATTTGTTGTTAAGTCCCTCTAGGACATTTTTATTTTCAGATAGTATGTTTTTCAATTCTACAGTTTGCATTTAGCTCTTTTTTAGGATTTCTGTTTCTCTTGAAATAACCTACTTCTTGGCTCATTATATTTATTTTTTCTTTTAAATTCTTCAACACATGGATAACAGTCATTTTAAAGTCATTGTCTGCTAATTCCCATAACTGGATCATCTGAGGGTCTGATTTTCTTATGGCTATGGGTCACGGTTTTCTCCTTTATTTGTTACATAAAATTTGCCTGTACTCTGTAACTTTTGTATAAAATAGCAGTGGAAACTTAAACTTAACATTTTTTGTCTTGTTTTGTTCATTTTCCAGGGACTGCAAGCTCCGTCCTCTGTTTGGTGGTTGGGGCACAAACATTAAGGATCATCACATCCTCTTGAAGAAGCGATCCTTTTGTCTTTATGAAATGAATCTATTTATCTCTGGTAAATTCTTTGCTCTGAAATAAATTTTGTCTGGTATTAATATAGCAACTCTAACTTTATTTAATTAGTTTTTATCATAGTATATTCTTTCCTATCCTTTTATTAATGTCTTTATATTTAAAGTTCATTTCTTGTAGGTAACAGATATTTGAGTCTTACTTTTTTTTTTCAGATTTATTTATTTATTTGAGAGAGAGCATGTGCACGTGCATGAGCAGGGGGAGAAGCAGAGGGAGGGGGAGATAGGCAGACTTCCCGCTGAGCAGGGAGCCCGATTTGGGGCTCAATCCCAGGACCCTGGGATCATGACCTGAGCCAAAGGCAGATGCTTAACTGACAGCCACCCAGGTGTCCCTAAATGAGGTGTTTAGACCATTTAGATTTAATATGATTATTGATATGGTTAGGTCATGGAATATGCATGGAGATGGAAGCCAAAGTCTCCTTCTCCTTCAGGTCTCAGGGCCCAGACAGGGCCCAGTAGGGACATGAACAAACTCCCTACTTCCCATACTTCCTACTTCTGGTTCCCAAGACAGCCAAGCTTGAATCTTGCCATTTCTGGCTCATTCAGCCTTTAAACTAGGCTCACCCATCTTTCCCTATAAGGCTGGTGGTTGACACAGCAGGTTCTGAGCATTTGGGCCCTAGTCCCACCAAGGGCCTTGGGCCCTCAGGCTCTCCTGGGGTCTCTGATCTCACTCCCTGTTCATCTCAGCGTCCACCTGCTTTATAACCATAGGGCTGTATTTTATCTCTGACCTAGCTCTTGTGGCTGCATGAGACCTGCTCCCTGCATCCGTGTTACAACAAAACTGAGCTCCCACGTGAATGTGTGTACATCTTATCTCTCAGGCCACACAACAGCTGCTTGTTAATTGTTACTTCCCTGTTTGGGCCCTGCCCACCGCAGCTCTCAAAGACTCAGCTTGGACACAGGCTCTGGGTATTCCTGGCCACTTGCTGTGGTGACACCAGACCATTCTTCCCCCTCTAAGAATTAGTCTTGGCAGAACCTCACATGATGGGCTCCCTCCATGACCATGACTCCCCTGTCTTGGCCCCTTGCCTGGAAAATGGGTGGGGCTTTGTGACTATCTCAATTAGTAGAGAACAGGGGAAGTTCTGCTCTGTGCCTTCTGAGGTTAGATTACAGAAGGCAAGATAACTTCCTCCATGCTCCCTCTTGGGAGGTGTGCCTTTTTTTTTTTTTAAGATTTTATTTATTTATTTTTGAGAGAGAGCACGAGCAGGGGGAAGGGGCAGAGGGAGAGGGAGAAGCAGACTCCCCACCCTGATGCGGGGCTTGTTCCCAAAGGCAGCCACTTAACTGACTGAGCCACCCAGGTGCCCTGGGATGCTTGCCTTTGTAACCCAGCTGCCATGCTCTGAGGGAATCCTGGCTTCCTGGATAGCCTACATGTAGGGGTTCTGGCTAACAGTTCTCCCAGCCGACAGCCAGCATCAGCTGCCAGCCATGTGAGTAAGGAAGTCTCCATGATGACTCTAGCCAGCTATCATCTGATTGCAATCACATGAGAGATCCTGAGCAAGAACTATCTAGATCTAGCCAAGCTCAGTAAAACCCAGAGCCATGAGAGATAAAAATGACTTGTTTTAAGCTACTAAGTTTGGGGTGATTTGCTACACAGCAGTAGATAACCAGACCACTGCCCATCTCCACATGTCAAATGCCTCACCACCCTTTATGACTGAGCCCATCACCGTATGTTAACCCCCTTAAAGCTTTCCCTGACTCCTGCAGTAGGGTCTCCCCCTCCTGAGCTCTCAATGCTCATTGCCTGTGCCAGTCTCCCATAACACATCCAGGTGCTCACCCATCTCCCCTCTTCCTTTAAAGTCCTGGTTCATCTACTCCTGCACCTAGGCCAACACTTGGCTTGTCGTGGGTGCTCACATCTCTGTCTGGATGGATGATGGGGAAATGTATCTGGGAGAGTGAACATTTGCCAATGGAGAGAAGTGTCCTCAGTTGCAAATTAGCTTCCTGTACCTTCATAGGCCTTTTTCTTTGACTGGTGTCTCAGGATATTTTTGGTTTCTCTACTAGGAACCTAAGATGCCTTGAGGGAGAGGCAGAAGAATTTAAGTATCGGGAGATCCTAGTGAAAAAAGGATTGTCTAAGTCTGGGTTTTGTTTTTGTTTTGTTTTGTTTTTGTGAGTAGGCTCCATGCCCAACATGGGATTTGAACTCACAATCCTGAGGTCAAGAGTCACATGCTCTACCGACTAACCCAACCAGGCACCCTTAAGTTGAGAGTTTCCTTTCTTTCTTTTTCTTTTTTTTTAAAGATTTTATTTATTAATTGACAGAGCAGCAGAGGAAGGAGAAGCAGACTCCCTGCTCAGCAGGGAGCCTGATGGGAGACTTGACTTGATCCTAGGACCCTGGGATCACGACCCAAGCCGAAGGCAGACACTTAATGGACTGAGATGCCCAGGTGCCCAAGTTGGGAGTTTTCTTAAGGTTACTGACTAAAGGCCCGCTTAGGCTACAAGGGCCTCTTAGGCTACAAGGGCCCCTGAGAAGTGTCTTTCACAAATTTACCAGCAGATGGCAGCCTTGCTCCTGGTTCTTACCTTGCAAACCATGAAGTGAATTTATTGCATTCATAAAATATTAATGAAGCATTTGCTCCATGTAAGGCACTGTGTGAGCTACAAAGGAGGGTAAGCTGCAATCCCTTCCCTCTGAGACCTTCCCGTCTAGTAAACCTGAGCTTGTCTTTAGACTGATGACTCCAAAAGTCAGCCAATCCTTTCTTCTGAGTCTAATTTCATACAATCGGCCCTGATAGAACAGAGGGGTTAAAGGTATTACTAAGGTCTGGTTATTTCCAATCTACTTCACTGCCTTAAAACATTGCCGTCTGGCCAGATGATCACAGAGAAGGTTGGAGCCGCAAAGATTGTGTCCTAGACAGGAAACAGGGAGACAGGTTTTATTATTTTTAATTTTTTAAAGATTTTTTATTTGAGAGAGAGAGAGAGAGAGAGCATGAGCTGGGGGAGAGGCAGATGGAGAGGGAGAGGCAAACTCTCCACTGAACAGGGAGCCTGACGTGGGGCTCGATCCCAGGACCCTGGGACCATGACCTGAGCCGAAGGCAGCCGCTTAGCCGACTGAGTCACCCAGGAGCCCCTGAAAACAGGTTTTAAAGCAAGAGGGAAACAAAACTGATTGGCAACAAAGGGCAGCTGGAGTGACTGGAGCTGAGTCTTTCAGAGAAACTTCTCCTGAGCCTTCAGCCCAGACCTTGGCTACACTTCTCCCTACAGCCTGTCAGGCTCAGAATAGCAGGAGCCTGCACAGCCAGCTCTGGGGAGTCGGGGTGCGGGGAGCCCCCCGTTCCATTTTCCCTCCCAGCCCCTCCTGTTTGTCCCTGCCTGCACTCTGGCTCTGAGAGCCCCCCACAAGCCAGCAAATGGGAGCAGAGGCCGCGGGGGGAGCAGGAGGGGAAGTGGCCCTGCAGAGCTATCAGGCTGAGGGGACAGAAAGGGCAAGTGGTCATTTTTAAAGTGTTCAGCCTGTTCCACACATACTCTTTTGAGGATCTGACCCTGAGCCTCCCCTGAAGGAGTTTCTGAATCACCTTTTAAGCTCCCCTGGAACATTCTTTGTGCTTCACAGTATTCGTGTCAGCCTGAAAATCAGAACAAATTTCCTAATCCAGGGCCCTTTGTAGTATCCCCTCTGATTCTTTCCAGATGGATTTCCCTTTTTCTTGCCTCCACGCATTTTATCTTCATGACCTTCACTTGAAGATATTTTGGTCTTTCTTTTGCTTTTGGCCATCAGGCTCATTTCCCCTGCAAACCCTGAGGGATTCTAAGGGTTCCTCCTTGGGAAATGTGACTATAGAGACCAAGAGCCCAGCTCAGGAGTCCAGCCCATTCCATAGCACCCCCCCCATAAGTAATCGCTATGCCCAATGTGGGGCTCGAACTCATGACCCCAAGATCAAGAGTCCCAAGCTCTACTGACTGAGCCAGCCACGTGCCCCACCACAGCCCCCCCTTTTGACTTGCCTTGTGACAGCCTCAGAAGTGCAGAGCCAGATCCAACAAGATCCAGGGAGATCCAGAGCTGCAAAGAGCCTGAGAGATGATCCATTCCCCACACTGGGTCCCTTCATAGTCCCAGGGCTCCACAGAGGGCTGCCAGGGGCTCCTGAAGCTACACCATGAGAATGACACCCTTCCCAAGGACCTCCCTTTCTCTCAACGGTCATTTTCAGCAGTATCTTTTAATGAAGACAAACAGGCAGGGGCGCCTGGGTGGCTCAGTCGGTTAAGCATCTGACTCTTGGTCTCAGCTCAGATCTTGATCAGGGTCATGAGTTCAAGCCCTGCAGTGTGGAGCCTACTTTAAATAATAAATACATACATATATAAAATGTAGAACACAGGGATGTGTGAAGGAGAATGCAAATGTAAATAAACTTTTATGAGAAAACCTCAGACTTCAGAGATGGAGGAGGGGGCTGGTGCTGCCACCGTCCCTGAGTTCCTCCAGAGGGATGTGTCCACCCCTCTCTGCTCTCAGGGGGACCTTAGGGGAAACTTCTGAGAGCATATAGGGTAGTCTGACCCCTCATGTCACGTGGGAAGAAAACTGATCTAGGTTACAGTCACAGCCCCTTAACTTGGTTGCTGCTCTGAGGCTTGGTTACCTCGCATGCAAAAGAGGGGCTAAAAATAGTCTTCATGTCTTCAGTTCTGGTGGAGATTAAGGGAGATGATGGTGTCAAGTGTCTAACATGCAGTTGGTGCTCAATAATTAGTTATTCAGATTAGTTTTAATGATTGAAGGCAGAGCTGAGATTCTAAGTACAAGGCTAGCCCTGGATCCTCTAAATTATAGTGATCTAACCAAGCAGCCTTGCTTTTCTTTGGGTTCCACTGCAGCTAGGAAATGGCTTTGAAGTCCCCCTGGGAAGTATGAAAGGCAACGCTTGTTGAAAAATATTTTAATCTGTGCCCTGAAGTCTTTACTCCTTGAATCTTTCTATTCCCCA